AGTGAAAGTATGCACGAATGAATGAATACTATTAACTTAAACCTCAGGCTTGAACATGCACATTTTAAATTGTACCATATAAGAATTAATAATCTTACAATGTTTAGACTTTTTTTTCCATGCTGCCAAACAGCTGTGTCAACTACTAAAATTGAGATTAAGATCTGGCAAGTGTTTTAAGAATCACCTAATAAAACTCCTCTTTTCACAAGTCAGAAAACTGGGACCCAAACAAAGAGTTACTGAAATGGTTGTTAGTATCAGGGTTTGGATTAGAATCTAAGTTTCTTATCCCTTTCTACTACTCAATATTCTTCTGATCAAAAGCCAGTAAAATGGTTCAATTAGTTTGCATAGCATAGATGTAACTAAAAGTTTCACAGAAGATCACAAACATTTTTTAAATTATAAACTTGCTTATGAAACATTCTCCTCAAAAATAACAAAATGTGGAATACTAACACACCACTTTTTAATTTACTCACTCAAATAACTCCATAAATTAAAGAGAAAAATCCCACATACACGCTACATGACTAAATGTTCTTTGGTTTCCAAAGAATTCTCTCACCAGGCCTTAGAGTAGAGGCATTTATGATGGAAGATGAAGTCACTTTTAGAAAGAAAACATTGGTTCTTTTGAATACAGGGAAAAGCAAATGTGTGTCAATATGCGGCTGAGTCAATCAGACCACAGTAACCATAGTAGAATACTTTCCAGTGTTCTCAGATTCCTGAATACCTATTTCTCCAAAGTAAGAATACGCCTATATGACAACAACAACAAAACTTTGTACAACATAAACTCTGCCACACTTAAAAGGAATACCATAGGTTTCTTGTTTCCAGCACAAGGTTGGTCAAACCTATGTCACAGACTACATATTCATAAAATATGTAATGCTTTAGTCTCACATTGCCATTTATAGAGAGCTTAGAAAATACTCAATTCTTCCTACAGGACTTAGAAATGACAACAAATTTGGAAGTCCATATATGCTTAGGACACAATTCATGATAGCTAAGATTTAGAATATTGCCATTGTATAGGATTCTTTCAATGATGCTGAACATAGATTAAGAAAACAACAAGGATCTCTGAAGCTGACCTATACTCTACCCTCACTATAAATTCAGACACATGTGATATGTCTAGAAGGTAGACTGTCTCTAGGAAGAAATGAAGAGACACTTGTGAAAGAATTAACCCAAATAGTGTAGATATACAAGTGTGGTCCTAGGAGATTGGCACCACCATAAATTCAAAACCTTCAGCCTCAATTTGAACCTGAGCCAATGACAGAAATCCTGTGTTGTTTCCCAATCCAGCATTCATTCCAATCCTACACAACATTTGCAAACTCTGCTCTCCTACAACTTTTAAATTCTTCCCCTCTCCCTTTCCCTCCACAGATGGCTTTACTTCCTATCTCAAAGACGTAATAGAAGCAATCAGACATGAAAACCCTCAACCTCCCACTACCCAAATCAGTAAACATATTAGTATCCACAGTCATCCTTTACCCCTTTACTGCTGTTTCTAGAGAAATGGCATCTTTTATCAAATTCATTTATCAATTAATTCAATAATATGTCATTGTCGAATGCATTGGATTCCACCTTCTTTGGGGAAGGTAACATTGGTTATCTTCTCTTTTTTCCATATTTCAGCCTCCCTCTACTAAATCCCTCCCAGCAGTATTTAAACATGTTCAAATTTGCCTCATATTAAAGAAACAAACATACAAAATAATAATAATTATTCCTTTCTCCCTCCTTTAGTCCCTAGTCCCCAGCTCCTGCCCATTTTTGTCCTTTCTTTCCAAACTACTCAAACGAGATAACTCAGGGCTCAGACCGAGGCCATCTCTTCTTCTCACCCTTTATACTCAATTTAATCAATCTTCTCTACTCTTACTAGTTATCTTCCAGCACATGCTAATAACTTTCAAACTTTATCTCCATTTCAGAATTCTCTGTTGACTTTCAGCCCTTTCCTGTATATCCTTGACTTCCCCAGTTAGAGAAAGTTACCCAAATTAATTTTTCAAAAACTGGATTTATTACCTCCACCCATCCCCAAACCTGTCATGTCATCTTTATTCCTTAGAACAGTAAATAGAAGCACAAATGAACAATTTACTCAAGCCAGAAACTTGAAAATCACTTGACTCCTTTCCATCCCTCATGCCCTCATAGCCATAAAAATTCTAACTTTGAAATTGCTCTAGAATCTGTATACTTTTCTCTCTAATCAAATTTACAGTCATTGTTCAACTATTCTACAATAATAGCTTTCTAACCGGCTACCTTGTGAATGCATTATCAATACTGTAGCTAGATTGTGCTTTTAAAAGGCAATTTCTACTACATACTTCCTTGCTGGAAGTCTTCAATGCTTTTCTATTTTTACTACATAGATTTGCTTCCACAAACAATAGACAATGTTTTATTTATGTTTTAAAAATTTACACCCATAAAATATATACTACATATTCCTTCGGAAGTGGCCTTTGTAACTAAACATCTTATTTTTTAATGCTATCCTCATTAATGCATAAGCTCCAAGGCATTTTTTTTCAACTGATGAATAATATTCCATTGTCTGACCAAAGCAGGATTTCTTTATTCATCCCTCCACTGAGGGTTATTACATTTGTCCCACTTTTTCATTGCAGTGAACATGCTGCAATTAAGTTGCTTGAAAATGTCTCCTGTGCACATGTGTGAGAGTTTCTCTAAATTGAATACCTAGAAAACAAATTGCAAGATCATAGGGACTGAACATTTTGAGCTTCAATAGATACTGTGCCACTGCATAAGAATGATGTACTCCAACTGTAGTTACCTGGAAAGAAGAGAAGACAAGGAGGAAGAGAGATATGGGTTTAAGATTTTAGCTGAAGTAAAACATTTTATTACTTCAAAACTGTTGCTTTTTCCCCAGTTTTTCACACAGCCACTTACTTATTTAATTTACTCTCATCTCTCAGATCTCAGACTACATGTTACTTCCTTAGGAATCATTTCCTCACCCTCTCAGGTCTTTCAATTTTCCTTCATTCTACCTTCTCATAGTCATCTTTACTTCCCATTTTGTAGCAACCCTTACACTCCAAATTATTTTTTAACATATATATTCAAATAATTATTTATTGATTGATTTACTTATTTGCATCTATCATGCCCATTAGACTCTGAGTCTCAGGGTAGAAACTGCATCTGTCTCATCTGAAACTCTATTCCCAGCACCCAGCACAACGCCTAGCACACAGGGGTTCGATAAATAGTCACCAGAAAATGAAAGTATCAGAGAAGTATTTGTGAGTAGTACTAGGTAGCCAGCCAAGCTCCCAGTTCCCTAAAGACCTGTGAAAATCGAGGGCAAGATTCATGAAATTGTAAAAAAATAAAACGAAAGCCATATTACCACAGATCTGTAAGACACTGAGGACATAAAGCAGCAAGGCCTTGTGGCATATATAAGTCCATGTGGCTTGGCGCTAATTCAACTTTCCACATCTGGTGTCAGAGTTGGTGCAGAATGGAATTGGGCTGGACACACAATTGTATGAGCCACAGGCAGGATCAATAAGATCTGGAATCAAACATTGGACTTTTAAGGGGCAGGAGGCATCGCTGTGACAATCAGAGAAGAGACCAGAATGGTGGAATGTCCAGTCTCAGTTGGGAGCTCTACATTTACAAGCCCTTGTGAGAAAGTGGCAGTTTATCACAGAGTAGGTAGGGGCAGATTCACAGAAATAAAGAAGAGTAACTCTTTGCTGTTGTTGTTGTTGTTGAGATGGAGTCTCGCTCTTGTCACCCAGGCTGGAATGCAGTGGCGCGATCTGGGCTCACTGCAACCTCTGCCTCCTGGGTTCAAGCTTCTCCTGCCTCAGCCTCCAGAGTAGCTGGGACTACAGGCACCTGCCACCACGCCCAACTCATTTTTATACTTTTAGTAGAGATGTGGTTTCACCATGTTGGCCAGGCTAGTCTTGAATTCCTGACCTCAGGTGATCCGCTCTCCTCGGCCTCCCAAAGTGCTGGGATTACAGGCGTGAGCCACCATGCCTGGCCAAGAACAGTAACTCTTATTGCTGCCTTACCACGCAGACATTTGATTATTTTGTCACTGGATCACAAAGATTAGATAAATAAAATATTTTCATAATTCTGTGTGAGGTGGCAAAGCTAGAAATCAGAGGTATATACTATTAGTTTCATCTAAAATGCACAAATTTGAGGTGTATTAGATCTTCAAATAAGGGCAGATCTAGGGTAAAAAGAGATCAAGTTTTGCAAACAATCTATGGGTTTTAATAAAAGCATATGTCTTCAACCTTGTCTGTACCTTAGCAGTTGCTGCAAATAATCTGCATCTTAAGGAAATACTTGTTTATGCCTGTGTATGCACAGAGCTGAATAAACACATCTAGAAATATCTCTTCCCCTAAATATCGATTGTAGTAAAATGGCTTATTTACTCTCCCAGATCCTAAATCACCGAACTGACTGGACTCCCACATTTCAGCTAGTTGTTTAGTTTTTCTGTAAACTATTTCATGGTCAGAATATCATTTTTTTATATACAGCTGGCAAAAATAATAAAAATATAAGCAATTTGAAGGGGCAGTTTTTTAAACCTATGAACTCCCTCACATCTTTTACTCTTCCTCCAGTACTGTTATAAACCATATTGCTTTGCTTGCCCTTCTCAGACATTCCTTATGGCCAATATCCTACACCCTAAAATCCACTCAAGATAATTCACTTGCTGTCAAGGCAACAGTTATATCCCCAAGAGTTTCCGTAAATAATTCATTGAATGCATTCATTTCCAGAAGATATGCTCAGCTAGAACCTGGTTCATTTTTCAAGACAGTGCAAATATGGCCTCAAAATTGAAGAGCTAATTCAGCATGGACCAACTATTTGAAAACCTGAGGCAGAAAGAAAAATTTTCGTATGTGAACATTGAAGTAGATTGTAAATACCTGTTTACTTGCAGATTCATTGCTGTCTTCCAGAGCCACATTTGCAACCACAGGGCAGGAGAGGGAGACAGAGAATCCCCAAACCAGGGAAGGAATAAAGGCAGCTGGGCCCTACACGCAGTTCATTGCAATGTCCCCAGGAAAGACAGGCACTGCTTCTAGGGAAGTAAGGGAGGGCCAGGATCAGTATTAGACCTATTTCGTCCTCTCCAGCTGATGTGCATTCACCTTTTCTTTGTATAGCCTTACTGAAAGTGAAAGTAACAATCCCCATCACCTGTCATTCCAACAAATATAATTGCATTCACTTTAACATTCATCACATGAGGAATAGTATACGTGTCAGCAAAAATAATGACCACTTGTGTGGCTTCGGCATACTATTTTCACGACTTTCCTCTTTTTGCCACTGCTGCACCATCGTCTAAGTTCTGGTGTTCGCCCTCACAGGCTACCACAAAGATGAACATTGGACCATCCCACATGATCCCTAGGGTCTAAAGACTTCTGCTGCAAGTCCCAGCCAGAGTATGAGGACATTTAGAGAGGCTATGAGGTCCTGTGTGCAGGATACTGCATCACGAGAAGCCACACCCTAGTGAAACCTTTGCCACTTTGCTGAACTGGACATGGCATTTGTCAAAAGTACCTTCTCAACCATTCTTTTCAGTATTCTGTCTGGTCTGCTTTGAATACAAGCCATATGAAGAAAGAAACTATATCTTTCTTGGCCACAATGTGCCTGGAACGTGGTAGCAATTTAAGAAATATTTGTTGAAAAAATAAATGTTTAGTGGATGAATGGGTGGGTGATAGGCAAATACTTTCTCGTTGTCTTTTGGTCTACAAAGTTCAATATTATTTGAAATGAACCATCCCAATATCCCTTCAAAATGGCATAAGTATATATGCCAATACTAGGAAGAGAAAAAAAATTCTTATTAAAGCTCCACTTTGATACCACCAGGTACAGTTAGTGATATAAAAGGAAAGAATGACTTTTAGCAGATATGTATTTATTTAACTCACTAGGAATTCTCATCTGAATATTCTTTGCATTATGTAATCTTAAACATTTTAATACTGTAAATTAATGTGCAAACATATTGCTAAATTAGTAGACACTATTTGGGTTTTCAGTGGAATTTGCCCTGCCAATCACATCTCTACATACAATTACAATAATTAGGACTTTTAATAAATGTCTAGACCTCTTAGTTCTATAGAATGTAAGATGCAGTTAAGGCATTTCATGAGTGCGGCTATTATGAAGAATCCTATAAATAATTTATTTTTAATTTCTTCAACTTTTATTTTAAGTTCATGGGTACAAGTGCAGGATGTGCAGGTTTGCTACATAGGTAAATGTGTGCCATGATGGTTTGTTGCACAGATCATCCCATCACCTAGGTATTAAGCCCACCATCCATTAGCTAGTCCTCCTGGTAGCTATAGTTATAGTATTCCACGATGAATATATACCACATTTTCTTCATCCAGTCTATCACTGATGGACTTTTAGGTTGATTCCATGTCTTTGCTATTGTAAATAGTGCTGCAATAAATATACGTATGCATGTATCTTTATAACAGAATGATTTATATTCCTTTGCGTATACACCCAATAATGGGATTGCTGGATCAAATGGTATTTCTGCCTCTAGGTCTTTGAGGAATTGCCACACTGATTTCCACAATGGCTGAACTAATTTACACTCCCACAAACAGTAGAAAAGCATTCCTTTTTCTTTGCAACCTTGCTAGCATCTGTTGTTTTTTGACTTTTTAATAATAGCCATTCTGACTGGCAGGAGATGGTATCTCATCATGGTTTTGATTTGCATTTCTCTAATGATCAGTGATATTGAGCTTTTTTTTATAAGTTTGTTGGCTGCATGTACATCTTTTTTTGAGAAGTGTCTGTTCTTGTCCTTTGCCCACTTTTTAATGGGGTTTGTTTTTTCTTGTAAATGTGTTTCCTTGTAGCTTCTGGATATTAGACCTTTGTCAGATGGACAGATTTCACAAATTTTCTCCCATTCTGTAGGTTGTCTATTCACTCTGATCATAGTTTTTCTTGCTGTGCAGAGGGTCTTTAGTTTAATTGGATCCCATTTGTCAATTTTTGCTTGTGTTGCAATTGCTTTTGGTGTTGTCATCATGAAGTCTTTGCCCATGCCTCTGTCTTGAATGGTATTGCCTAGATTTTCTTCTAGAATTTTTGCATTTTGGGGTTTTATGCTTAAGTCTTTAATGCATTTTGAGTTAATTTTTGTAAATTGTGTAAGAAAGGGGTCCAGTTTCAATTTTCTGCGTACGGCTAGCCAGCTCCCCCAGCACCATTCTTTAAGTAGGGAGTCCTTTCCTCATTGCTTGTTTTCATCAGGTTTGTTGAATATCAGAGGGTTGTAGGTATGCAGTCTTCTTTCTGAGTTCTCTATTCTATTCCGTTGGTCTATATGTCTGTTCTTGCACCAGTACCATGCTGTTTTGGTTACTGCAGCCTTGTAGTACAGTTTGATGTTGGGTAGTATGATGCCTCCAGCTTTGTTCTTTTGGCTTAGGATTGTTTTGGCTATTTGGACTATCTTTTTGTTCCATATGAACAAATGAAAAGAAAAAATATATACATGATTATCTCAATAGATGCAGAAAAGGCCTTCAATAAAATTCAACATCCCTTCATGTTAAAAACTCTCATAAAACTAGGTATTGAAGGAACATACTTCAAAATAATAAGAGACATATATAACAAACCCACAGCCAATATATTACTGAATGGGCAAAAGCTGGAAGCATTCCCCCTGAAAACAGGCACAAGACAAAAATGCCATCTCTCACCACTCCTATTCAACAAATGATGTCTTCTGCAGTGCCGGGCGTGTGCATAAAGAAGGACAGGGAGGTCACCCTGCTAATCAGGCTTTCATATTCTCTCAGTAGGGCAGCAATATAATTAGAACAATGTCTTTGAAAATCTAAAACATAAATTAGTTATCCCTCAGATGCCTTAGTGACACTAGCATATTAGCCTTGTTGGTATTTGGAGGGAAAAGAAACTTCGAAGGCATTTTATATTCTGTGAATTTGAGGCTACACATAAGCACAAATTTCTTTCCTTTTTTGATGATGAGTCTCTGCTAGTATTTAATAATATAACGTTATGCATTGAAAATACGTTTCCTGGTTGAAGAATGGACAGAGACAACATTCTGGGACCTCTAAGGCCAAACACTTTGTTATTATTATTATTGATATCATTCTACCTCCCATCTGGGGAAAAAGTATGTGGACCTGTGCACATATATAAACACTCTAAGAAAACTGTGGAAATACGGAACACTTTTTCAAGACCAAAGAAGAAAACCACTAGACTAATAATTATCTCTCAAGGTTACTGGTGCTTAGGAGATTAGCTATTGTAATTTGTTGGGTCTTGTTCTATCTGTCAGAGGTTCTGCTGAGGATTCTTTCACCTGTACAGAGAGGAGGAAAATAAAGAAATCAGAAACAAAATTTACATTATTACCAGAAAAAAAAGAAAAGATAAAGACAACTAGAGGTCTGGTGAGACATGTAAAAGAAAGAATCTGGACAACTATCAGTTTGATCATATTTGGTGGTTGTTTTCCTAAAATAAATAAATACATAATTTAAAGAAATGTGCTATTACACTTTGACCTTCACTATCCTTATAGTTTGAGTTCACTAAAAAATCTGTTCTCCTAAGTTTGAGCTTCAGCTTGGAGTTTGCAACAGCCTCCTAGGACTTTGTTTTATGCATAAAGTTATTATCCCCTTTTGTATCAGGTCTGTTGTAAATGTTCATTATAATCACTGCTGCTTAATTTAGCAGATGGTTGGAACTGTACAATTCTTCTCAGAGGAATTAAATACGGTTATGTCATTTCCCAAGTTGACTTAAAAGAAGTAATTTGAGATCAAGTAATGTTTCAGTTTCAGTATTAGTTCAGAATCATTGCCATAAATGTTTTCTTTACTTCTATAATTTTGAATATCTGTGATGAACTGGGTTGGTCTTCCATTTTCTTAGCTCTTGATGTCCTTCAATAAAGAAATAAAGATTAATAAATCATTGTACCCAAATCCCATGTTTTGTCACATAATTCTTCTGGAGTCCCCAAAGAGGTTTTCCTATTATATTTGCACAGCAATGTTTCTCATCTGTTGTCAGTAAATACAATAGAAATTATTTCTTACACCAAACTGCTGGTACATATTAATTCCACCTGCAATGACAACCTCGCACTAATCTCAAGGTATCAGTGATCAAATGTAATTAACAAGAAACAGAGAAGTTGCATCTAAAAAAATTCTCAGAATCTCCTACCTACTCAGAATACCATCTATGTCTTTTGTTCAATGGATTATTCAATTGGCTAAGAATAGTTTTAGTAGGATGATGCATTTTGAAAGACAAGAAACTAAAAAGAGATTGTTCATAGTTCCAGATTTGTCTCTAAGTAACAGGGTCACTTCTCTTCACCCTGGGGGCTCCTCCAAAAAGGTTGTTTTTCTAAACCAAGATTTCACTATTCATAAGGGCTCATTCTTATATGTTATTCAACCTCTTTCAACTTCCAATTTCTATGCCCTGCAACCTCCTACTGTTTGGGTTGAACTTACTTTGGACACTGCAGGAAGCAAAGGGAGGGTAATATTTGAGGGTATGAGAGATGGTTGATTTAGTCAGGAAAGCTCATTATTATGCCTTTTTTTTTGTATTTAGAAGCTTTTTTCTGAGGGGGTAAAGGATCTTAATTTCAAATAGGAAGTAAGCTTTGCAATTCCCCTGTGAAACTGGAAAGTTATATGAAAACCGACAGACATCTTTTAGAGGATGTTGGGATTATAATGCAAAGTAGTTAGGAAATCTGGGTTTGTGTATGTGTCTGCCACTGGCTAGTACTTTAGGTCCCTGTATTTTAGTATCCTCTTCAAAACCACAAATTATGGCCATGAAGATGAATAGAATAATATGTTTATATATATAATATAATATACCTGGAGGTTCTCTATAAATTATAAAAATAGTGTTTGTGTACAAGGTTTTTTTTTTTTGTTTGTTTTTGTTTTTGTTTTTTTAGTCAGCTATTTAATTAGGTTCTTAAGACATTTAGAACACCAATTTGTGAGG